ACACTTTTTTTTTTCGTCGTGAATTCGCTTTGAGAATCCGGCCTCAGAGCTGGTTTTGTCGGTGGTGCCGTGGTTGCCGACTTGCCGTGGTGCAGCGTGCGTGCAGCCCTTCCACATCTCAAACGGCCACGTTGTCACAGGTCGTAAATCGTCGACGCGCCACCGAGTGGAAAGCTCGTAACCACAACATCCACGCCGTAGCCTTTCCCGTCTGGCACAAGGGAGGTCACGAATGCGCCCAATATCCCAAGACGCATCGCGCTCTCCGACGGCTGATTTTTGAGCGCGCGCCCAATCGGGCCCCTCAGGGTGAAAAATATAGCCATCCGTTCAAAATGAAAAAACGCGAGATTATGATTTACGGATATCATTGATCATATTAAACCTATTTTTGACCATAATAGGTGTATTTCAAGTTTCGCTTCAGTATCCCTTTAAGTGCGTGAACATATTGCCGCGCGCAGGGCTGAGAAAGCAACGCTCGATCACGAACCTCTAGAAAGTTCTCGTTCGTTCTTGTTCCAGACGTAACTTCTATCGTTTGTCCCTGCTTTTGTTGTTCCAGAAAGTGCGTGTTCATTCCCGCCCCGAGCGCGCTACGCTCGAACCTTCTCCGCCGAATCTTCGAGATAGTGACTCACCTTAGCCGCCCGCGACCTTGTCGAGTCAGTTTCGCCTCAGCGTTCGATCTTGGTGCTTCGCCGCCTTCGACGCCCGCGACGCTCTGTTGTTATCTTTTTTTCTCCTTTTACTTTTTGGACACAAGTTCGCCCGATAAAACGTTCAGTTTACTTCGTTATTCGCCGCCTCATCACTTGTCCTTCGTGACAATATGTTATCAATCGACGAGGCACTCTCGAGTCTCGGCACAGGTACAAAAATCTCCGGCCCATACCAGGTGACCAAATCAGCTTTCGCACATAACCTGAAAACAATTTGGTATATTACAGCAAGAAACGTCAATGAATATGTCTCTAGAGGAAATGCATTTTATATAGTCAGAGGAGAAAAGAAAGAAAAAAGTGGATAATGCGAAAGGTGGCTATTCCAGGCGAAAATAGGAAACTGACAGAAGGAAGGCAACGAAGTTATTTTAGTAAATAGGTCAGGAATTTGTGCTACATTGTCAAAGATAGCTCAGATATATATATATTTTTTTACAGTGTTGCAGTTTTATAGGAAAGGAGCGGACATAACTCAAGCCCCGACAAGGGCGCTTCTAGTGGCGGATATATAATTTTCATTGGTGGGTTCTTTTCAGCAGCAGCAATCAGATTACGTTCGCTCAAGTTTTGCTCCACGGAAAAAGCTTGCGGAATTTGTGCAAACATTAAATCCTGTCGTATTAATGACGTAGGCTTTACTCCCGCGCAATTCGCCACATTTGCTTCCCGACGAGTAGGTGGCGACAACCACTAGGTGGCAGCGAACAATCAGAAAGACTAGAGTGCCTCAATGTTGCTTACCGGCTGCGCCTTGTTAGAGTGGGGACATCCTTTGGGAGGGTAAGTGCCGCCTTTACTTTTTTTCTCCATCTCGCTCCCGGCCGCCGCCGCCATTTTGCCTCCCCGATCGGCTGCCGATGCACGCGTGGGATCGCTGAACCGGCTTGTTCTTTTACAAATGCCGGGTTGCTGCGTGCCGCAGTGTTCGAATCACTCGAGGAATGGGTGGAAGGTGTACGGCGTCCCAAGAAACGCCAAATGGAGTCGTCTTTGGCTCGCACAGATAAAGCGCGGCGACTGGGAGCCGAGCCGTTCGTCATCTGTGTGCAGCGTGAATAGCAACTTTGTTTCCTTGCAATCGCCGGGTCTTTTGCCGCACAGTTAAGTGCTAGAAAGTGGTATTTCAGGTCGTGATAAATTATTTCAGATAAAGGCTTCTTCGAGTTGGTTCTGCAGTAAAGCGCCGCAAATAACTTCCGCTGATCGTGGTCGAGGAGTCGCATGTTTCAGTGAGTGTTGCCACTTTTCTTGTGAAAAGTGTATGTCCGATTATTTTTTTTTTTTTAAGTTTATGTGGATTTTATAATTGTGGATTCTTATCCAGGCATCTATGTGTTCCGATTTTTTTATGGCATTGTTGTGCAGTCACAGAAAAAAAAAATTCTATTTTTTTATTACTTATTTTGGTAAGTGGTGTGTTATCACTTTCTTTCTGGAATCTGTGTTTGGTCGTGTGTGACTGATTTTTTTGGATTTAGTGTGTTTTATTTCTGGGTTTTTCTTTACAAGCGTCTGTGAGTCCTGTTTTTTGTATATATCAAGCTGCTGTGTCAAGTAAATCCTAGTGTTGTTTGACATCTCTATGTTCTCTGCCTTTTTTTATTTTCCTTTCCTTGGTCTCGGGCTTTTATCCTCAAATATTATCCATGGCTAAACAATACTCTAAATTTTAATTGCGACCCATCTCTTTGCCCTCAAAACGTCAAGTAAACAAGTGTTGTAATGAATCCTGTACTGAGTGCACCACAATAACGATCTACGTCCTCTCCACTTTAAACTTGCTTTGTAAGCCTTTTGCATGTTGTAAAATGTTCAATACAACCCTGTTGTAGGTTCTCATACACTGTGTTAAAGAATTACTTTCCATTTGAGAACAGCGGAGCATGTATGTTAATTGCAATGATTTTTCTTATTTTAGTTCTCAATACTATAAACGTATCTAATATAACGTGTTACTTACCTGAAGAGATATATGTAAACTAAACGTGCATTTATCGACTTCTGTCGGCATCACTGCATTTTAAGGAAACAGGCTAGCAAAAATAGTGTAATAGTAATAAATAAAATATTCTGATTTCTGATTCCGGAAGCTTTTTTGACAAGAAAGGCCAGCAAACAAAATTTATAGATACCTACTGCGGCCGTCTAGGGGAATGTAGGACAAAACTTGAATCTGTTGGGATTGGTGCGTGTACTTCTGTGTGCTCTGGTGCCTACAGGGCACCAGCGCACACAAAATAGGCAAGCAACTTTCCTTAATTTTTTAAAAGGTAAGTTAATAAGGTTTTTAGAACAGCTGCACCAACAGGTGAGAAATGTTTGTTTGTCAATTTACCTTTATACCCTGCACGGCGGCCGCCTGTTCAGTGCTTTTTCTAGCATCAAACGACCCATTTCAGTTTCGTAGCTCTTGGAAGCACAGCGATCCAAGTATACTCAGAATTCCAGCGATATTGGCATAGTTTCGGTTTCTAAATTTAACACCTTCCGAAAAGAACCTCAAAAGGTTTTGACGCGATGTCTCTTACTATGGAGTTCTTATTTCAGAAGCTCTGAATGCTAATCCAGAACTTATCAAGATAACAATATCGGCGAATAAAAGGCGATAGAGAACAGAACGTGTAGGCTAGCGTATCTGCGCCTCGCTCGCTGATCGCTTTCCTTTTCTTCATTCAACGCAAGGCCAAACACGGGTAGGTATTGGAGCAGATGATAACGAACATAGTCGGTGTCAAATGTACTTGCAGAGTTCAACCATCTCTAAGAACTTGACCAGAATGCCAGCGGCAACCGACGGAACTTTCGCGAGCATTGTTGATTTATATGCGGACTAAATCGTAATTTTAAATGGAAAATTAAACGCAAACTTGACTAAACACGTGACGTTCCGTGTCTTGAAGTGGTCACGCTTCATTTCAAAGGTTAGGATGCTCACTAGCTGCGTAGAGAGCTCATAAACGGCTTCATAAGCCTTGTACCACATCGACTCGACGAGCGAACAAGGCAGCAATATTGCGGCTCCGCTGCCAGACGACAGAGTTGTCTCCACTCTGGGACGGCGGCAGCCAGCAACATTGAGACACTTTAAGAAACACTATTTCCGACTGCTCGATCAAGGTCACGTGGCTTATGGCCGGCGTTTGCAATACGAGCTCCAGGTGACGAACGCATTGTTCGTCCGCGAGCGTCTCCTCCTTACCGCTAGCTTTCCTCGTAGCCACGCGATAACACCGCGCATGAGCAATTACGAGCAATCTCCGATGGAGGCGTGAGCCATTAAACTGTAAACGCTTCCCATGGTTTCAGTATGACCTTTTCTACAATCTAGGCTTTCCACGAACAATAGGTGATAAAGGCGACGCCGTCGGCGTGCTCCTTTCCCATACTGCTGCACGAGGACGTGTGCGTTCTCGCAAGTAGTTTTGACAGTGCTGCCAAAACTACGCTGACCTTGAAAACGTAGCACCAACAATGTTTAAAGGGATACTGAATCGAAACTTGAAATATACAGGAAACACCTAAAGATAAGTCAAATGGAATCAGATAAACCTGTAATTGATAATCGCATGGCCATATTTCAAGCGGATGGCTGTGTTTTTCGTTGTAAATGCCTGGATTTCGGCGAGCGCTTCAAAATCAGCCGTCGAAGAGCGCGATGCATCTCGGGAGATCCGGCGCGGTCTTGACGGCATCAAGCCTCGGAGGGCCAAGCGTACCGTAGTTATGAGTCTTGCCACTTGGTGGCTTCAGCGTGTTACAATCTCGCATAGTCGAAGTACCCGAGGGCTGTAGTAGCATATTGCGGAGCCGGCGGAGCGGCTTCAAGTGAATGGTCGCCGACCAACGCGACGAGAGCGGTGGGTAGATGACATTAATGAGGACGAAGATGCCGCCACGCCGCTACCTCACCAGGCCATGATGGCCGAGAAGCGATTCTGCCTAGAGTCGTATTTGTACGACCCATCTGTCTTGTCTTCTGTCAAGGAAGCCAAGCCAAGCAAAAGACACTGGACTGTCGAGAAAGCCAAGCCGAGCTAAAGCCACAGACGCAGAGATCCAGCCATGGCGTAGCCAGCGTAGCAACATGTAATCCGCTCACTAATCGAATCAATAAACATCGTTTTCTGACATGGTGACAGAAGCGGGATCTACCAAGAACAAGAAAGAAGAACCTCAGCAGAAACGATACAGTCACTGATTTGAGCGACGGAGCGAAGAAGACGCCGTTAAAACAAGACAAACAAGCCGACGCACGTGAGCGCCAATTCCGAAACTATGGAAGGTGGTCTAAAGACGCCGAGGCCTCTTGATCTGTCGTCGCAGTCGCCAGACGTTTGGGACGACTGGCTTCAGAGCTACAAATGGTACGCAACAGCGATCCAGTTACAGAAGAAACCTCCCGAAGTTCAAGTAGCGAACTTCATGACTGTCATCGGCCCAGACGCACAGAACGTGTTCCGAACGCTCCCACTGAGCGAAGACGACAAGAAAAACCTGGACATCGTAAAGCAACGGTTCAAAGAGCACTTCCACCCGAAGGTCAACCATGCCTACGAACGGTACAGGTTCAATCAAATGAAGCAGAAAAAGGGCGAGACTTTCAACGAGTTTCTGACGGCCGCAAGACTACAAGCAATGAAATGCAAGTTCGGTGAGCTGACTGACGAACTACTACGCGATCGCATTATCGTTGGCATCACCAACGACGATGTCAGAGAAAGACTGCTAAGCGACCCGACTGTCGACCTGCAGAAAGCCGTGAATCTCTGCAAAGCGAGCGAACAGGCGTCACAGCAGCTCAAAGAAATCGCAAACAAAGAAACGAAGACCGTCGACGCCGTCACGAAGAAGACAAAGCAGCTACCGAGAAAGAAGACTGTCGCGGAGACAAAAGAGCAAGCGCCGGCGAATTCGGGAATGGCAAGAAAAGCATGCAGCTTCTGTGGAGGATTTCACAGACCAAAAGAATGTCCAGCGTATGGCAAGACGTGTAACAAGTGCCAAAAGAAAGGACACTTTGCTGCAGTGTGCCGATCAAGCAGAAGTATGGTGCAACACAAGGTCCATGCCATCGACAACCACGAAGACCCTGAAGAAGAAATGTATGTGTCGGAGCTGAGAACCAAGACAAGCAAGACAGTGTGTCAAGAAGAAATCCAATTCAAGTGTGGAACTAAAGTTGTCATGAAACTGGACACAGGAGCGCAATGCAACGTCCTTCCAAACAAGAACGTCCAAGCCATGAGACTACAAGTGTTTCCTTCGCCGGTCAAAAGAATCGCAACATACAGCAATCACAAGATGCAAGTGATCGGTGAGGTGAGAGAAGCATGCACTGTCCGTGATCAGCCAGCGAAACTGAAATCCCTCGTCGTGAACTCTGACGTGACACCAGTTCTGGGTCAGAACGCATGCGAGCTCCTAAACCTCGTGAAGAGAGTGCACACAGTCCAAGCAACGCAAGAAGATGACGAAATATTTCAAGGCATCGGTTGCATCAAGAACTTTGTTTATGATGCCGATGTCAAAGAGGAAGCAAGCAAGAAGCTGGAAAACAAGCCACCAAGAAGGGTCCCATATGCACTTATGGATGAAGTCAAGCAAGAGCTCACGAGCATGGAACAGAAAGGAATCGTCGAAAAAATCACAGAACCAACTCCATTCTGCAGTGAAATGGTTGTTGTGAAGCAGCGAGGAAAGATCAGGATCTGCATCGATCCAGTGGAACTGAACAAAACTCTCATAAGACGAAACTATCCTCTCAAGACTTTGGAAGAAATTGTTGCGCATGTCAGAGGATCCAAGCGGTTCACTCTGCTAGACCTCAAGAAAGGATTTTGGCAAATGCAAGTGTCAGAGCGCACCAAAAAGTATCTAGCCTTCAGCACTCCGTGGGGCAGGTACTGCTTTAAGAGAGTTCCATTTGGCATAGCCACAGCACCGGAAGTGTTTCAACAAGTCATCAGCAGAATCCTGGAAGGGATTCCGAACGCCGTCAAGTGCATGGACCCCAGGTAGCACACTTGCTTGGTTTAGCTGGGGCCAGGGTTGGCACTTAGTTGTGATAGCTAGGCCACGACTGCCCAGCAATTTACGTCTGTATGCCTGCCTGGCGTTTCATAGTCTTTCCTTGCTCCAGAAAGCCACGGAACTGCCAGGGAACGCTTTCCCTGGTTGACCAATCAATTTCCTTGGTCATTGATGGCCAGTGTAAACAGGCCGCTGCCCGTATTTGATGTACCCTGGCTGTCTATTGATTTTCCTCGGTCAGAGATGGCCAGGGTAGCAATGCCTCTGCCAAGCTTTGGGGTTCCATGGTAGTTCGCAGGAATTCCCTGGTCCGCGCAACGCAAGCAACAGCCAATATTCGGGCATGTTGCCAGATCAAAAATAGGGTGAGCCAAGGAATGTCAGGGAATTGCCGCTATGCAACGTTCCGTGGCTCAAGCTCATATTTTATCGGACCCAGAATGCCCACTGAAAGCCACTGTTACTCATAGTTCGTTTAACTTTTTCCATTTTTTTTTAAAATTCGTATGAGCGTTCTCTTAACATATTTTTGGTGCTTTGTGGCAAGAGCCCTCGCACTAGAAAGTGACGTTTGAGTGCAAGAAGTCTGTTTTAGCTTAAGAAATAAAGAAGAACACGCTTTCCCCATTGAAAAAAAAAATCTTTTTGGAAACAGTTTGGATATGAACAGGCCAAACCCGAAATTAACTGGTTGTAGTGAAATTGCACCGGAGAAATTGGAAATAAAACTATCGAAATTGGTCCCACTCGAACTTTATCATTTCCCCGCTTTTTACCGCGGCCTTTATCTACCCTGGCTTGCACGGAGAAGCCGCTTCAAGCGCAAGTGCCCGAGGCGGGGTGCCTGGAAAAGCGCGGGAAAGATCCCGCACCCTCCAGATGAATCATGCGCCTGGAATGCGCCAGTCCCCCGGGACCAGGGATGATGCAGTCTCCCTGCGCGCAGCGCGGGAAAGAAGAGCTGCTCACGTGCAAGGACAGGGAGCGCGCGGGCCAATCAGCGCGGCTCTCGCGTCCGCTGGAAGCGCCAGTTTTGAGACGGCGGCCGGCGAAGTTCCGAAAACCAAAAAAAGAAAGAAAAAAAACCGGATCTGGCGTTAGTAACGCGAACTTGGGTCTTTGTTCGCGCTGCTGTTCTGCTCGGGGAGGTTGCAAGATAGTTTGCCGGTGCCTTGAGTGCTGCCTCTGCCGATGGTTCCTGTGGCTGATGACGTCCTCCGCCTGACTTCGCCTGAGTTCCGCTCACTCGCGGGCGAAATGGCTGCATCCCAGAACGGCGTGTTCGGAATTCGCTGCGTCCTCATTGCAGCGCGGGCACTGGCTGTCTCTGTCTCGGCGCCAGCGAGCCAGGTAAGCAGGCTCGACCATTTATATTCATTTTCATAATCAGGGTCAAGTGAATCCGAACGTTTTTGCAACCCCATTTGGAACAGCCATGCTAGTAATACAACCGCCAGTGTATACATGCAGCTTCAGAGATCCTCTACCGGAGTGGTTAACCAATGTGGTAGAGGATCCTGCTGTTGTTGCTCCTTCCTGCCTTCCTAGTCTGTCGTCCGCTATGCAACGTAAAGGCTGAACCGCATGTAAGCGATTAAGCGAGCGACCAGAGTCGGCGACGAGCGGCGGAGATATCCCACGGTCGCTTGTCGCATCGCTCGGTTTTTGGATTTCTAGAAATCGTCGCTCATCGCCTTGGTCGCTTGCTCCCGTCACTTTCATGCGGTTTGCCGCGTCGCGCGAGTGACCGAACGACAGTGAAGCGGATTGTCGTCGCTTGTCTCGTGGCTCGTCAAATCTCTTACATGCGATTTCTACTTAATTGCCGCGAGACTGGCACCACATGTACGATTGGCACAAGCTTCCATATTCCCTCTCATACTGTTTATGATAGTGCATATTTTTTTATTAGTGGCATTAGTTATTAACCATTTTAGAAGAGACGGGTGCAAATAAATCTGCCTTGATTCTAATTACTGATGTTTATTCTTTTTTCAGATGCCTTGCGGTACTATGTTAGCCACCACCGGAACCCCGACACTCCAGAAGGTGTGGAGAATCTCGCCAACCGCCTGGGACACATGAATAATATAATGCCAATCTTTTTGCATTGTACATATGTTTTTATGTTTATTTTTGCAGCCTGTAGTATGTATTTTAGTGGAAATAAATTGAATTTTATTAATTTACGACGTGTGTTGTCAATATGACCAGTTAAACTGGTTTAACTGCATGGTGAATTTCTATTGTCTAGCCAAGCTTGGCTGACCACCCGGCCACTAACCTGGCCCATGCTGTATATACAATAAAGAGCCAAGCTTGGGGTACCACTGAGCTTCCCGCCTGGCCCTGGCCATAATTCCAGTGGTGAGCCAGTCCATGGTTACACAGGGAACTGCCGGTGGTCGCCAGACTGGCATACCAGGATGGGGCTGCCTAGCGCCATGGTGCAAAACAATCTAGGCCCAGTGAAACTTCCCTGGCTACCCAGTCTGGCTCAAGCTTGAGCCGGTCGTAATGTGCTGCTTGGGGACGACATCCTGGTGTATGCCGAAACAAGCGAACAGCTGCAAGAAACTACAAAGAAGGTCATGGATGCTCTGAAAGAAGGTGGCACTAAACTGAACAAAGACAAGTGTGTCTCTGACAAGCCTGCAGTCAAGTTTCTTGGTCACGAAATCACTGCAGAAGGACTCAAGATCGACCAAGAAAAGGTAGCCGCCATCGAACAGTTAAATGAGCCAAAGAACAAGACCGAGCTACAGAGACTGCAAGGGATGATCCAGTATCTCCAGAAGTTTGTTCCCAACCTTGCGGACAAGACTGCACCACTGAGAAAGCTCATCACCAAGGACACTGAGTACCTGTGGACAGAGGAACAGAGCAAGGCACTGACCGAGATCAAGCAAGCGCTGAAGAGTGCACCAACACTCGCATACTACAACGTTAATGGTGCTATGACCCTTTCAGTGGACGCAAGCTCAAAAGCCCTAGGAGCTGTTCTCCTACAAGAAAGAAAGCCTGTTGCCTACGCCTCAGCAGCAATGACGGAAGCACAACAGAACTACCCTCAGATCGAGAAGGAGGCACTAGCGATCCGATACGGCTGCCGGAAATTTCACCAATATATCTATGGAAGACCTCTAACCATCGAGACTGACCACAAGCCGATCGAGAGCATCGCAAAGAAGCCGCTGAGCAAAGCCCCTCCTCGACTACAAAGACTTCTCTTTGACGTACAGCAGTACGCACCAACAATCGTCTACAAGAAAGGAACAGAACTCGTGATCGCAGATCTACTGAGCAGAGACTGCATCAAGAACGAGTCGGCAGGTGCATATACAGATGACATACAAATGATGGCAATTGTACCCATGTTACCTGAAACAATGGAAGAACTAAAGAGGGACATTGCCCAAGACAAAGAAATCCAAGAAGTGATCCAAGCCACGAAAGAAGGATGGCCAAACACCACAAGAGGGCTCAGTGACCCAATGAAGCTGTATTGGTCATTTAGGGATGAACTCGCTGTGTATGAAGACATGTTGTTCAGAAGCGATCGGATAGTCATTCCGAAGACTTGGAGAAACAGACTGCTTGTCCAGATCCACGCGGGACATCTAGGCATAAACAGTTGTCTAAAGAGAGCCCGCGAGACTGTATACTGGCCAGGGCTAACGGCAGACATTAAATGCTACGTGGAAAGATGTGCCACGTGCCAAGCAACTGACAAGAAACCAGCGAGAGAGCCACTTCATCTCAAAGAAATACCAGACCTCCCGTAGGAAAGAGTAGCATCAGATCTCTTCAACTTCAAAGGAAAGTCCTACGTTGTCATTGTCGACAGCTACTCTGGATACCTAGACTTCAAGAAGCTCTCAGGAGAATCGTCAAAAGAAGTTGTAAACGTCATGAAAGTGTGGCTAGCAACTCATGGCGTCCCCAAAGTGATTGAAACAGATAACGGTTCCTGCTACGCAGCTCAAGAATTCGAGAACTTTAGCAGATACTGGAGGTTCCAACACGTGACTTCAAGTCCGAGGTATGCGTAGTCAAACGGTCTTGCTGAACGAGCCGTTCAGACTGCAAAAGGGATTCTCCGAAAATGCTCTCTGGATGGAAGCGACATACAAATGGCCCTCCCTAGTTTCAGAAACACGCCAAGGAGTGAAGAACTGGGTTCACCTGCACAAAGACTGTACAGCAGGAGGACAAGAACTCCAGTTCCCACACACAACAAGCTACTAAAGCCCGAAATAATCCAAAGCGTGCCGGCCAAGCTGCGTCACGAGCGCAACCAGCAGAAGACTTACGCTGACCAGCACTCCAAACGAGCCCCTGCCATGGCCCCAGGCGATAAAGTCAAAGTTTGGGAAGAAAACAGGAGATAGGTTCCTGGAACAGTCGTACGCCTTTCGGAAGAACCTCGGTCTGTGATAGTACAGACGCCAAAGGGACAGTACCGTCGCAATACGTCCTTTGTTCGTCCGAATAAGGCTGAGCTACACCACGCTGCAAAAACTCATACTACCAGCATCGAGCCATATGCGCCACAGCCTGTGACCGACAGCCGAGTGTGTCCCAGCCCCCAGCGAGAGAACCCAGCAGACTCAACCACCGTTACCAAATCAGGTCGCATAATCAAACCAGTCGTCAGGCTTGATCTCTAAAGAAAAAAAGGGGGATGTCAAGGAAGCCAAGCCAAGCAAAAGACACTGAACTGTCGAGAAAGCCAAGCCGAGCTAAAGCCACAGACGCAGAGATCCAGCCATGGCGTAGCCAGCGTAGCAACATGTAATCCGCTCACTAATCGAATCAATAAACATCGTTTTGTGACATCTTCATCGTCCGCAACAGGTAACAGAGCTTATTCACAAAACGATATTACAGCAAAACCTAAGAAAAGTACCGTATTCACGAAGCAAAATTATCGCAACATGGATAAGTACACTTTTGTTTAGAAGTCCATTTTATTTCGACATGATACACCAACACATGTCGAGTTAGAGCAGTTTTTGGAAGCGACTCAATGCCGGTCCAATCTTTCTCTGCCGAGCGTCGCGCCAGCATCGAGTTGCGATTGTCTAGAGGCCTAGCGGTTCATAAAATCGGTTGTAAAAGACCGTTCCCGAAGCGGCTATTAAGAACGCTGACACTCTTTTACTCCAAACGTATCATCTTGGACGTTGGCTCCCTCCCGCATCCCCGAAAAGCGCCGCAGGGATTTGTTTACATGCGCTCCGCTTTGCAGAGCCGTACGGGCCGTCTCCTTTTAGCAACGATGGTAGTTGTGATGACTTCTTAGCGATCGAGTTCGTTATCAGTTGCGGTCGACGAAGGCAGCTATCTCGTAATCAGGAAGGTGGGCATGCGGGCCCGTTTTAAACAGACATTTCGTAGCGTGAATATTAAATCGCACGTACACAATCTCCAAACCAGCCCAAAGAACCGTTGCCGGAAAGACCACCCGATACTAAAACGAACGGAGGCCAACTCTGCTGTTGCTTTCTTCACCAAAGCGCCTCGGTACTACGTTCAGGCCTAAGTAATGCCTATGAGTGACCGTACTTCCCGTTGTGGCGCTGCTCTTACGGGCATGTTGTCGTCACGACATTCCATCGAAGCTTCACAGACATCCACGAGGTGGTTTTTGGTTATCATTTTATTGAGTTTAAAACTTATTTTCTCGCGTTATCCTACGGAATATTGGTATTGTTGAAGTCCTATTTTAACCCTCTTTATGTTCAAGCAAAGAGATGGGCTCTAGAATTTGGTTTCCGTACCCCTTTAAGGTTGTTTGTCTTGACGACATGAAGCGACTGCGATGAAGCAATGACAGAAGACTAGGTCGTGCTGTAGGTTTTAGCTGTACTATTTGACTCAATTTAACTGCAAAAAAAGAATCCAGATCTGGTAGTTCTTGTGTTACGCTTTGCTATTTTTTGTCAAATTTTCGTGGATGTCAACGCAAGCAAAGAGGGACCAAAACAGGTCGCTTAATGTAGGTTAGGTAACAAGTTAACTGCCCAATCCTAAAGTGTCTCGTCCCGATTCTCAGCGCATTTTTCTAAGCTGCTTTCGCTCCGAGTTGTTAATCACTCTGTTCAATGACCCATTCACATGCCTCTCGTACCAAAGAGCGGTTCACGTTCTGCAACTTTCACGAGCAAAGATAGAGCCCCTGAAACGAGGAAAGGGCACATTCGATGTGGAGTTCATAACTTTTTGCGCGGGTGTACCTGAGCTAACGTTGTTTTTGTACGGCCGCCCGACATTTTTTTCCGATCTGGTTTACCAGGTACGGCCACCGAATAACCGAAGACTGGCGGTTAATTGGCCACCTTCCGGGACTCTTTCGCTCGCGCGCTGCAGATACGAAACTGTTCATACTATTGTGATCATCCTGGATTCCCATATGACAGGTGTTGAAATCGGACTTCGGCGCCCAAATCGAACTCCTCATTTATGGCTATCACAAAAGACGAGGTGCGCTCCGGTTGACGTACTCAAGTTACGCTGCGTCGAAACCCTGCTGCCGTGACCGTTGTTAAACTTTGTTGATAAGGAGTTGGAAGGCAGTGTTCGAACGGTGTTTAGGAGTGCAGAAATACGTGTTAGTCAACCTTTAAACCCGTGTCATAATAAGCATGTTTGATGAGGTTCCGTAGAGTTCACGTAGTTTATTTAAACTTCAGCGAGTTATGTGTAAGAACACAACAATTTATGAGGAACGAATGATAAAACAAGTGGGCATCAAACGGCATTAAGTCAGCACGTTTTCATTACGAAGAGAAAACTTGTCTTTTCTCAGTTCTACTTTTGCTACCCACAAGAATGAAAACGTCTGGAACATGTTTTTTAATTTCAAATATGCATCCCTTAATGAACCGAATGAATTGATAGAAGTTATAATAAAAACTGCGTTACTTAACAAAATAGAGTTTATTGAAACGTTTCGCCTCCCAGGTGGCAGGCATGATCCGTACACAAAAAAGCAATGCGAGTGTACGAGCAATAGGAGGTGCAACTCATGGCTCCTTACTGTACTAACGGTGCCTCCCACAAAGGAAGCGAAACGTTTAATTAAACTGTTAATTTTGGTAAGCCAAGCCGTTTTAAATTTTACTTTCACCACATGTTCGCGCGGTTTCTAAAGTATTGTTTGCATCCGCCGAACTAATTACCTATTGATTCGGACATTGTGAACTACGCGTGCATAAAAGAGGGTAAAAGCTGGATTACAAGCATTTAACAAAAAAAAAAAAATCACGATTTCGGAAATAATTCATTCTCAACGTGTTTTGTGTTCAGTATTCCTTTTTATTTGGCAAGTTTTAACCTAAACATTTACTTGTATCTAATGTACTGGCAAATATTGCTGTCGTCTAGGCGGTGCAAGGCCATGAATTATTCAAGGTGTGTTATTCGAGCTGAACAACCTTCGACGTAAAAGAGCGAAGCGTTAATTCCACTCTCCCGCCTTTGAACGGGTGAGGTCATCTCTGAGGGGTGTTGTGTCGAGAGCACGCGCCCTTGAGCGGAACCGGTTGGAGTTGCTATCATCACCAAAACGCTTAACGGCGTTCGTTTCGTGTTGCGCCAAGGCAAAGTGCTACGATGCCGGTCAGGGAAACAGCGGTTGCCGCTGCGGTGTTAGTAACCCTAACTACGCTATTTCATGAGGCGGCTTCCGGACCCTCGTGTCAGGACAGGGATTACCTGTCTGCCTGTAGCGAAGACTGCTACAAATACAAATTCTACACCTGCGTTAACTTCAACAAAGTGGGCGACCTCTACCACTACGTGCAGCGTGCCCTCAAGTATCCCAACCTGTGGTTCATCTTGGAGGACAGCCAGCTGGACTACTACCCAGGCGGCACCTTCGCGGACGGCAGCGTGAGCGTCATTGAGCTGCGAAACGTGCGGGCGCACAGCTTCGCCCAGTTCGAGACCGGGCCCAACCCGTTCCTGGGGATTGAGGACTCGCTCCAGTTCATTGTGTTCAGGGACGGCAGCACGCTGCCGGACTCCTGGACAATGCTCGGCCGGCTCAGGAAGCTTGAAAAGCTCGAATTCTGGAACATGAAGCACCTCGAGCTCACTCGCGATTTCAACGACCTTCCGCAGAGTATGACTCGAGTCTATATCTACAACTCGACCATCGGCTACATCGACGAAAACTGGCTGTCCTCGCTGAAGAATCTCGAACGCGTAATCGTGCAGAAATGCAACCTAAAGAAATTTTTGAGATCGATGCTGCCGTTGCCTGCTCTGAAGCTGCATTTCCTGGACCTTGAGTAAGTACTTCGAGTAAATACTCAGAAGATTTCAAAATTTCTAGTGGGGAGGTGACAATGCGTCCGGTTTTGTTAATGAGAAGACATCTGACATAAGATTACTTGCGGGCGCTTTTTCTTTTGTGCTAAGTCCAGTACGCTAGTAGATAGTTTTAAAAAAATCGCCTTATTTTATAATTAATGCAATCGAGGCTGTGCCCTACCACTGCAAAGCCTGCTCTGATGCACCTGTCAGGAGCAGCGTATGGGTTACAACACGATACTGTAAACACACACAGTTCAGCCTCCTGATGATTTCAGTAGTTAATTTCGATTTTGTGTTAAGAATTGCCGGTCTCCAATTTGGTCCCATAAAAATACTTTTTCTTAATTTCACAGCTATATTTCTTCTGTCAAACTGCCTTGTTGGCTACTTAAACAAAAAAAAAAAAAAAGAAATGACTCCCCAAAACACAGAAAACGTACCCATTGAAAAGCTGGATTACTTTCCCACAACCTTCCTGGGTTGGATTTCCACCCGCTTGTTTTGATCTCGTGTCCAGCATTGGACAGGTGTGCGGTCGTGTAATTACACTACAAAAACGTTTGAGTTCATCTCCCTGCAGAACAAGTCGACAGCCAATCAGGGCGAAGAAATATGTTAATGTAGAAATTCAGCACACGATTGGATATGAAAACTCTGATGCATGCAGGAAGAATCAGCAAGTGAAACGCTGTCCTTGTACACATCGCACCTTTTCATATCGTAGCGACCTTCACCATTGGCTGGGATCCTTCTGTGATTCGCCCTGATTTGCTGTCTACGTGTTCTGCAGGAACGTACTTTCTTGTAGCGCACTTCGTAATGCAGGTGAAAGATCCCAAGTTAGCAATCGGACAACACTGGCCACATTTGCCATCTACAAGCAAAGGCGTCAGACACCATTTTGGGACAAACAGATTTGAGTCGCTGAAAGTTCATTACGGTCGGCCTGAATTTTCGTAACTCTGAAAAATGTTAAGGACAAAAAGACAATGATCTCATTCACCCGGTGTGTCGACCGCGCGAGCCACGATCAGGTGTCGGGATGATACTTAATGTGCAATTCCGTTCGTCGTGTTCGCACGGCTATTATATGTTTAAAAAAGAAGACATTTTCCAAGAAATGTTTACCGCATGCGCTCGCTTTCATTAAACAGCTGCGAAAGTTCTAATTATGTTCGGCTGGCGAAAGTGGCTGTAGCTTTGTGGAAAGATGTGTTACATTTTCTGCCTACCCCGCGTCTTACGTGTTGCCATAATCTTTTTTTTTAAATGAGGTTCTACGTGGTTACGGGTTACGCAGTCTTCTTAGAAAAGAAGGCTGGTCTTTGCTAGGTTTTAGTAGATAACCTTAGGAGCAAATCCGATACAATCACTATACAGTGCGGTGTTATTACCAACCTACGTGCCGACATATCTTTCTCGCTTGCGTCGCTTCGGTCGCAAAAATTGCACTTCTGCATGGATGATATTGTTTTCTTTATAAAATTTAAGGTGAAATAAAGAAGAGACTGCTGGCACGTATAGTTGTTGCCTTGCTCTGGCGGAGCCAGTCGTTGGTGCAAATCGCCGCCGGATTCAAACGGCTGAGTCGTTTGCGTTCATTTATTTATTCAATGTGACCCAACTAAGCGTAAAGTGTGCGCCAGCTGCTAGGTGCAAAAATGCAAACAGTAGGAACAGGCCCATTTTTTTTTTGTCTTGAGATGGCGCCGGGTAAATTACAAAATCTTGAAGTCGGAAGGAACTAAAAAGCTGATGTTCGTTCACAGCTGCTCGGCAGCGTACCGCTCCACACCAGCATGGAGCAGGTTCACGCGACTGTAACATTGAAATATTTCTCTCTAAGGAACTCTGCGTTAGCTAACATGCAGTGTACTAGTCTTTATGCATATTTTATGTTCACGAAATTACTAGAGCGCGTAGCTTTGTGGCACATTAATATAATTTATTGTACAATTTATGGCGTTAAACGATTCTTGTTTATTTTATCCTTATTATTCGGAGGGGCAGGGCAATAAACTAAATTGCATAATAATAACGAAGAGCCAGGGAGCACGGACAAGGGAAGAAGACGACAGCAGTAATCCATGTATCCTCTCGCCTTCTTTTCTGTTGGTGTTTTCATCTCCCTTAACGCACGGTTTTGGGGTCAAAAGTTTAGTTTCTACCAAAAAAATAACAATTATGTTCTGAGAGCATTCTTGAAATGAAAGACGGCGGAGACGGCAAGCTTGGCGTATTTTTCCCGCGTTATTCACCATTGAAATAGCCGAGGCGGACATTGAGGTTTCTCCCGCAGGTCGGGAATTGCTTCCTTGTCCGTTCGCTATTTTCTCATTTTTAAAATAAAAAAAAACTAACACTCTTTTCTGGTATTTTCAAATAGATTTTCTTAGGTTTGAGGAATTAAATAAAATCGTTTATTTTTCAATAATTAAAATAAACAAGTGTCGAACTTTGATGATTTTTTGCAAAGCTTGGCAAGTTTTTACTTGTGACGTATCTCGAATATTTGAAATACCTTGACATCACCAGAAAGCTCAAATCTAGCTATTTACAACGAATACAAATTGAATATTATCTATACGAAATAAAATTGTTACATAAATTTGAATGAGCGAACGTTTCAGAAATCTAGCAAATTGAAACTCGATTTCCCAAAAACATACCTTTATTTTCCTCTTTTTTATTAGTCGCAAGGTATAATAGTGGTTTAGTAAAATGTAAATATAATAAATAGTAATAATTGTTTATATGAGCGCAATTGAAGCTTTCACCTTGTCCGATGTGCGTTGGGAAGTTGCAAGCTTTATTTCGCAGTAAATACTTTCTAATACGCATCCCTTACTGTTTCACTTTTTTAATGTTACGAATTAATTAAAGTGTATTTATTAGGTAATTATCTGTACCACGTCACCATATTGACCAAAATACTACCAGGCGAGGACGCCTTTACAACGAACAAGTGACATGATTCAAGCTTGAATTGCGGACGTACAAACGAAACAGAATATCTTTTTTGCTTTGTTGATATTTGCTAATAAACTTACGATTCTACTTCGTTTTCATTAAAACTCAAAGCAAATTAAAAAAAAGTTTCTTTAATTAGTTCCAAATTTGCTGATTTTTGTTAACCATTCGTTCCTTCAAATGTATGTAACATACTTTTTAAACATATATGACAGATTTGTATTCAATAAAAATAGCTAAAATTGGCATTTCCGAAGATGTCAAAATCATTATAAAATCTTCAATAAATCTCATTAAAAATGACAAACAAGGCCACATCATAATTAAAGGGTCACAACGCGTTTTCTTCCACCTGTCGCAATCGCATGTCTGACCTCTTGCTGCTTCGTAACTTCTCAAAATACTGTGCTAGGAGACACTCTTAAAATGTATTTCTTACGCATTATGAATAAAACAAAATTGTAATCTTTTAAAGTAGTTTCTTTCAGAACGGTCAAACTATGTTCCTTCGATAATTTTCGGTATAGTCTGGAAACTTTTCAAGTTTGAACTATTTAAAATATTTTAATTCCCTTGATATCATCGGTAACCTAAAGATTTCCCTTTTTATTGAATGCAATTTCAATATGAGATGTTAAAAATGAAAGGTTATATACATTTGAATAAAGGAATGTTTCAAAAACCCAACAAATTAAAAGCGATTTCTAAAATTAAAAAGCTTTTATTTCCTTTAGGTCTCATTGGCAGCATTGTATAACTGTGGTTTGTCAACAAAGAAAAACTGAAAACTTAGTATTTTGCTTGTATGCCCTGTTTGACCTTGAATCCTGTCAGTTGTTCCTTGTGACTACGTCCTGAAAAGGTGCTCTTCTAGCCAACATTGAGGCGTAGTACACTTAATTACATATCATTGATAGTTTAATTAAGACGTTACTTCAAACAATAGTGGAGTTGTGCTTAATGCAGAATAAAAAAATGTTTTATTACGCAACAAAGCTTGCCTTTTACAACGTACATCTGACAAGATTCAAGCTTTAATGGCGGTCAAATAAACAAAATACTATATAATATACTTGTAGTTTCCAATAAACCAAAATTGTAACTTGCTACTAATAAATAAATCAAATAAAAAGTTAAGTTTTTGAGCAAATCGAGTTTGAATATGCTCGATTTCCGAAACGCTCGTACATTCAAGTGAATGCTAAAGAGTTTATTATGTAACGAAAAAAATATTAAATCTGTATTAACTGAATAAAAACAGAAAAAATAAACATAGGGATGGACAGAACAGCACCGAAAGAGGTGCTGTTCTTTCCGTCCGTATGTTATTATTTCTGTTTTTATTTAACTTCACCAACGCGCTCCCGTCGAACTATGCATTAATCGAAAAGAGTTGAATTTGAACTTTGCTGCGTTGTCACGATTAATACAATATCCGAAATAGGTGACACGTAAAAGCTCGCCAAACTTTACTGAAAATGATCAGGGGAGCACAGTTAAACATTTCTTTAAAAACTATTTCAAACTTTTTTTTTTATAAAAAAATCTATTTTCAGAGTGTCACAACAAAATTTTTTATTTTGAAAAATGAAACAAAAAAGAAAGAAAAAAGATAACGAGTAGTCAAACTCGCAATTTCCGACCTGTGGGAGAAATATAAGTTTTCGCCTCGACCATTTAAATGGGCAACTACACACACAAAAAAAAAAAAGATTAATCAAGCTTGCCGCTTGCGCCGTCTTTCATATCAAGAGTACCTGCAGCTTTTTTTTTATTCTGCCGAAATGTTTACTTTTCAAGAATGCTCCCAGCAGCGATAATTTTTTTCGTCAAAATTAAGGAGTGAACCTGAAAAGTGTGTTTGAATTGAGATAAAAAGATACGGCCAGCAAGTGTTCCAAAATGCGCCTTTGGCGCTTTAGAACCCAAGGAGGAACACGCCAATCATAGGTCAACACAGAGAAGGGACAGGGAACACGCGATGGCGATGCAGCCAAGCGCGCTC